AGTCAGATTAGCACTAGCCTTCCACCCCCTCCTGCCAGCAATTAAAGTATTTTTTCAAGGGCTGCACTGAAATAGTTCTCTTTCATTTAAAAACATTGTTTGTATGTAAGCTTTTTCTATTGGCAAAATCATCCATTATATTGCTGTCTCTCTCAAGCCATGAATTCCATGCTTCTTTCTTGCAACAAGAATCTTTTGCTCTTTAACAAACAAAACAAAATTTTGCTGGTTTTACTTTCCTTTCATAAATAAGAATGTATTATACATTTTATATTTTACGCATATCTCCCAATTGCTCTCAATAAGCCGATAAAATGTCGAGTTTTTAAATTGACGGGTCATAGACAATAGCGCACCAGCCTTCGACTTTATATTGTTTTGCCAAGATTGTGTAATAAGGACGTATCTCTATATCAACACCTTCCACAAAGCAACATCCGAAAAACCAACGGAAAACAGTTTATCTCCGGTCGGAGAAAATGTCACATGGCTAATAGAGTCACAATGCATATCGAAATCTTGAAAGCTACCTTTATCATAATCAATTACTTTCACTAGTCGATCTAAAACAAAAAGAAAAATACCTAATTAAGTGATTGTAAACTAAAGCATTTGGTGTCATTAATTCTCGAGGAAATAAAAGAAGCACTGAAAAGAAATAAAAAACTTTTTAATTAGAATTTCACCTAAAGCTTTTTTGATTCATATTTCCGACGTAGCTACGTCGATTTGGGACGTTTTTTGAGACTTAAACTATGTGGGATACGTAACCCTAAATTGTGATCTAAATTTTCTTCTCAGAAAACCATCGATAATCCAGTTTTACTAATGGAAGAAAACTAGATGAGAAAAATTGACATAAGTTGGAATAGATAAAAAATCAGAAACCTTAATGAACTGAAGAATAAATATATTCATAAATGCTAAACAATTTTTTTTTTTGGAAATAATCCAAATCAAGATATATTTCTCTCGTGGATGTTTTCAATAAATATCGACCTAATTTCATGCGTTCAATAAATATCTCCAAAATTCCTTTAGCCTCTGAAGAGGGGATTTAAACAACTTTTAGGTTTAACAACATTTTATCAGGAAGTCAAGCGGTATTTCTAGAGGATTATCCAGTACATTCCAATGAGCTAAAATCATTGTAAAAAATTTCTGACTATTTTTTTTGATTTTCTTTATTTAAGTGTTAGTTTGGTGCATTTAAACTTAGCTTGAAAGAAGTAACTCACACATGTAAAGTATGTTAATTTATTGTTAAAGCACAAGCGAAACGACATATATTTAATTGTTTTAGTTACATAAAAAGGGCGTTGATTTAAGCCATGCGGTGTCGAGCAGAACACAAGTCAAAAAGTGTGAAAATTTTTAAATTAGCATACAAAAAATAGTGCTTACTAGATCATGTGACTAGCACTATGATCAGATGTATAATACTGTGTTTAATACATATGTAATGTATCGTCATTCCTAACACTCCCACTTGAGGATATCATTATTAAACAAGACTAAAGTTAATTATTTTCAGAAACTCCCAGTTGTTCTCTGAATTTTATAAATTTTTCCTTGGATAGACTGTTGGTCATGATGTCGGCTAACATTTGATCTGTAGGGCAGTACTTCACATCAATTCACCCATTCCCAACTTTCTCTCGAATAAAGTGAAATGCAATGTCAATATGTTTGGTGCGGTTATGAAACTTAGCATTCTTTGAGAGTTCGATAGCTCCTTGGTTATCTTCATTTATTGTTAAAGCACAAGCGAAACGACATATTATTAATAGTTTTAGTTACATAAAAAGGGCGTTGATTTAAGCCATGCGGTGTCGAGCAGAACACAAGTCAAAAAGTGTGAAAATTTTTAAATTAGCATACAATAAGTAGTGCTTACTAGATCATGTGACTAGCACTATGATCAGATGTATAATACTTTGTTTAATACATATGTAATGTATTGTCATTCCTAACAAAGTAAACACGAACACAGTATAGGAATATACAGTTAGGTCCACTTCGTGTGCAACTGGCTGCTCTATATTTAGTTAGATTACATCATTACTATTGGTCAAAAAAAGCAATTGATTGGCTGCCACTATGGTAATTACATACTTAGAAAGATATGCGTGGTAGGAAAAAATTCAATGGAGTGGCTATTCTGTATATTCCCTATACTGTGACACAAATGTTTTGCTTATCATCGTCAAAATATATTTAATGGTGTGTGGCTGACTTACCGTAATTCATGATCACAAATCATTAAAAGAGCATACTTAATTACTCGAGTAAAACAAAAGCTCAAAATCTTGATTTGGTAGCCATATTCTTGACCTGCAATTCAGCCATGTTGGTGTTCTGATACAAACGAATATTTCATCAGTGTTATTGGCCCCAGCCGACATGTGCGAGAAACATTGCTTGGTAAATCTCAAGAGAGTGGCTGCAAATCAAGAATTTATTTTATCAATATTATTGTAGGCACCAACGAACGTGGGCAAACGACATTGTTTGGAAATCTGCATGGAATGATTGCAAGTCAAAAATTGGCTGACATAATTAGATTGATGACGAGAACGTCAATCAGTTGTCAACTTTGCCAAGTGGTCCTAGACATTGAACTCAATAAACTCAATATATAATCATGTGTAGCTACATATGCATCAAAAATGCAAACCTTTGAAATCCTTCAAAGTTTAGAAGTTATAAACTTGAAACGAAGCTCATGGAAGGATTAAAACAAAGTGCAATTTTGACTTTTGTGCCGTTTAATGGTTTATTACATAAAAAGTTTAAATATACTACAACTGAATGTAAAGGAAAATATCTCTTGCTCATGGAACGATATAATAAGTCATTTAAGAGATTTAAATATGAACTTTAAGACAGTTTCAAACGTCAAACTTTGCATGCACCGAATGCATTCAAGACAAAAATAAATGAGCTGAAATTCCTAATTATTTTTGTTTTAAATGCACTCGGCTCGTAAAAGTTCAACGTTTGAAATGGAAATAACTCTCACGATTTGTACATCTGCTTACTCTTGAGTCCATGTAGACAAACTTTTGAACAGCCTCTGTGAATATGAATATTACAGCAAAAAACGACGTCACGCTAATCATGACGAAAAAAGGTGCCAAAGATGTCCTGATTACTTCTGATGTCTAAACTTCGCAAAGACTTTTGAAGAGATAGACATTCACTAAAAAAGGTGATGAGGGGGAGAGGTCCTAGACATACAAGTGGTTTCAGTTTCTAAGTAGGCCAAGAAATAAGTAAAGGATAAAGAGGAAAGTCCGAGAATTCTTCCTGTTGGCGCTCCAGTGGACACGGGAGACTTCGTAAGTCTTAACATCCACTACAACTCGATCTCAATTAAATAATCCGCAAACCAACATGAAAGAGGTCCAGTTTAGCCATACCAAGCACTTTTTAATTAAGCATCGCATAGTGAACGGAGTCCTAGGACTTTGAAATGAAGAGGTACATGATTTCTGAGAAATATTAAGATGAGATAAAAGCTGGTCTCACAGGAGCAATTGTGAAAACAATCTTTGGAAGAGCTAATGAGGTTGGATATACGATCATGAAATCATAAAAACGGAGCAATGAAAAATGGGTCTATTTTTCTACTGGTTCCCATGAATCTTTATTGTAGATGGGAGTCATATATGCTGATTTCCTCATGGAGAAAGCGCTAGTGAGCGATTCAAGATTATTTGTTGACTATTCAATGTGTATCTAAAGTACCTACTATATATGTTATATCTGAAAGTAGTTCTTAATTGGGTGGTGTTCAAAATTGATGGTTGTGGTAAAGTGGAATGTTAAGAATGGTAAGGTTGTTTTGATAGTATTTGACTACGAACGACTCGAACGATAATAAACAATTTAGAAAAACTTCATGATTTCTAGCTCTTTGATACCTTTTCTTTCTTGTTTTTTTATCAATCCTCTGTATTGTCGTTGTGCCAATTAACTGAAAATCGCCCCATTTTACACCACCCAACTCTACTGTGTGGGTGGGGTTGGGGTGTTAAAGCAGCCTATTGTCTTTGTGGCCTATTGCAGCCTATTGAACTTGGTGAGGCACTTTACCAACGTATTTAACCCAGAAATTGTACCAAATACCTAATTTCCAGTGGAATATCTAAGTCTGAGTTCATGCAATTTGATAGCTTGTTCATGAAAGTGTTACTGCATATCGACATTGCCAAATGATGAAACCCTATCATAACTTTCACTGTCATGAAAGTGACTTATAAAATGACTAAAAAAACTTATAACCTCCTTTTTTACAAACTAGCTACGTCTAATGTTGTAAGATTTAAAGAACTTATATTTAGAGATCAAAATGAAAACTTTTTAACGGAAAACAATACATTAATGAGCACCATACTCACATAATGAAGCCTGTTGCAAGATTACACAGAATACGATACCACCATGAAACCTTTACAAAATAGGTTATTTGTGAGGCTAAACATGGTAGGATATGGAAAGAAGTTGGAAACACCCCTTTTAGCAATTTTATGGCTGGTTGTCAGAACTCAGCCTTCTATGAGCGATCTTGCTGGAAACTGATTGCAAATTGTAACTGGCACACTCTACATGCGATTAGCTACTATGAAAGGCAGGAAGTTAACTCCCATTGTCAGTATTAGATTTACACTCTTCGAGATTACTCTGAGACAACTTCATCCCAATTTTTGATTGAACCTTCCAACTTCACATTCAAAGAAGGTTTGTATGGCTGCAAACTATAATTGTAGTTTAAAGAAGCTGTTAAATTACGGATTTTAGCAGTGGTATTTTCTTAAACTGCATCATGTCAGTGTGAAAGGTCCGTTTATTAAGTTGAAAATTTGGTTAAACCTGTAAAAACCTAGACTTCATAACATAAGTGTTCAAGCAAGTACTTGCACATTCTGTGGGTGTCTGCAGACCCATACGCTCATAGCCTCCAATTCCACTGTGTGATATGTTCATGTTAAAATCCGTTAACCTTTATGACTTTATTTAGCAAAGTACTAGTTCAATACTAAGAAATATATATAAAGTATAGCTAGTAGCAAACCTAGCAAAATATTTTACTCCTACAATGCAAACTTTCAGTAAAATTAGAATAACAGCTTATAAAGTTGATAGATTTAGTTTATTTGATTGTATTTCTGACGATGGACAATTTCATTGCCTTCTGCCTTTTAATACAAAGAAAATCTAACCTGCTACGATAGTAATCTGGTATAGTGTAAACGTGGCCTGAGTATACCACAGACATGACATGAAGAAATTTAGCGACAAATCTTAAAACTAATAAATATGTTGATGCTATAACTAAAATGTTTTAATGGTGTTGATATGATTATATAGAAATGTCCATACATACGCATTGCCCAATACACGGTGGTAATTTGATATGAACTTAGCCTCACAATGTTCTCAGAAAAGTTTTGAATTTGTACACTTAAAAGAAAAATCTTCCTCCTCATTGCAGCTGTTTCCACTCGTAATTCAAAATCGAATCAGCCAAATAAAATTTGTTCATGCTTTCTAAGGTCTCCACTAGTTTGCTCCGAAATTCAGTTTTCCACTTTTTGGACAAGATTGACAAAATTTTCTCTGCCTTTATTTGTTGATTTTCATAATTCGTATCTGTTTGCACATTATTAATTTCGTAACTTTCCATATTCATCATGGAAGCCAATTCATCCCAGAAACTTGCTATATGACGACTCAGTTGACATATTTCACGAGTAGTTAAAACATCTTCATTACTGCTTGTCTATGAAAAGTTTAAATGAAAAGGATTGCAAATTTGTCACTGAAGATAAATTTCGTTCATCTAGCGCGCCTTAACGCGAAAAATGATAAATCGTTGGTGTGCAAGTTACGTCATAGCTGTTATGTTAGATGATTTTAACAAAGGTTTTCCCTTATTTAGAATGTAATGTCATGCACCATGGTGAACATTCCATTGTTCTCTCAATCACGGGGAAATGGTTGCACACCACCTATTTTACTCTGACTTAGTTCATACTTTACTGAATTAAATTGACGAGTTGAGGAAAAACAAGTTCGAATTGTATATCGATAAAAAACTTGCATGTGGGTATGAGGTACAAAACTTTGAGTATGTAAAATACTATACCACAACAATCCCGACAAGGCAAATACAGAAATGACAATTAACGTAAGATACTTTGTAGTTCTTTGCGTGAAAAATTATTGTTTAACAGAAAAAATGCTGTATTGGATAATAAAATCATCCATGCGATTTTTACATGTATTCTTTTATAAGACTTTAACAAAGCTTCAAGTCCCCCATCTTCAGTTTCAATTTAGTCAAATTTCTGTCGCAAATCAAATTGCTCGCACGAGTTCATGTTGTGTACGATGGTTTTTATGAATTTATTTAATTTTGCAGTAAAATTTCATTTCGTACAATCACATGACGAATAATACGAACTGCTTCCAACGTTCAAATTATATATATATATATTTGATTATAAAAAGCAAACATGCACCCATAACATTCAATAACATCGTCCATTCCTAGCTGTAAAGGCTAAGTTAATCGTGTTGCATTATATGTTTTTTGACAACAAATGCCACAGTGTTGAACTGTTCTGCAAAAAAATGGTGACAATGTGTGCCAAAATGTTGAATAAATACCTGATTTGTGGGAGTCAAAATTTCATCCAAATCAATATTTATTTCTCCAAGATATTTCTTCAATAAATGTCGATCGAAATCTGTTCGTTCATTAAAGACCTTCAAAATCTTTTTAGCCTTTGCGGAGGGATTTGGATAACTTTTGTGGTTAACAGTAATTTCATCACGTTGCTCAAAAGGTATTTCAAGAAGACCACCCAGTGTATTCCAATCAGTTGCAGCTTTCTGACTAATTTTTTCGATTTCCTCTGTTGTTAGTTTAGTGTAACGAAGATCAACTGAAACGGATCAACAAACAACATACAAACAACATACATACAACACTAGCATTCTACACACAAATATAAACGAAGTGTTGTAAATAAAAATCTGGCAATAGCAAAATTTTTCAGATTAGTATTGTTTTGTTAATAAACAAAACTCTGCTAAAGTTCAAGAAATTTTCTTTCTCATCAACACTATTGTCAATGTAAGCTGTTGGTATATTTTATATGTACATTTAATAATCAGCTTAGGAGAAAAATGAGGTTCATTTCATATTATATTACTGTCTTCTCAACTATTTACTCAAAAATCAAATATTTCACTTTTCTTGTAACTTTATTAGTTTTCTACCAGAAAAGAATGTTGAACATTATGTTACACTGGGCTAAGACCAACAAAAATGATCTCTTTTTACCTTTTAAATTCCCTATTTGCTGGTCTTCATTAATCTTAAGAGTCCAAAGTACTTTTTCATTACCACTGTGTAGTGTATCAACTTGAGTTATTTTCATGCATCCATTAGCAGGGTATGGTATTTTTCTTCCCATAAAATGATGAATTACGTGACCTTCGTTGTCAAGAACTTCCTCGTTAAATTCAAACGTAAATGGTGGAAACTTAGTTCCAGGAATGTCCAAATTTAAATGATGTTTTCGATCTGTCTTAATAAACATGAAATTTCCTTCCACTCCTTTCGTGTAGCCTTCTTGCAAATGATCATTAAGCTGCCTATAATTTATCGTGTATTCACTGATGAATACGACAGATAAATCAAATACTTTGTTTCCTAACTGTGGCAACCTTCGATGAAATACAAAAACACGGCACTTGAAAGAATGATTCAAATGACTGAGGACTCGATGTTCGTCCAAAGACTTTCCAGCAATGTAAATGTAGAGAGCACTTTCTGGAATATTTATGCTAATCGAGTTTCTTACGACATCAATGTTGATATCACTTGGTATTTTCCAAGTAATGGACTCTACGTTGTCCATATACGAGCCACAGAAAACGTAAATGTTGTTTAAATCCAATGTGGTCTCATTAACACGTACGCTCAAAATAGCAGGATTGTGAAATATAATTCCCTTTGGAAGACATTTCAGAGAACAAAGAATCTTCAGGGAATTTTCGTTGTTCAAATGCAGTGGTATATTCCAGAAAGAAACACCATTATTCTCTTTAATCAACTTTATCATCGTTGGTTGAGCTACACTATTTGTATCAACAGTCAGCTCAATGTCATCCAATTCTACAACACCACCATCTGCAGTTATTAATTTCTCCACTTTACGAAAGCTACTTGGATCACCTAAAAATCAGAAAATATATAATAATTCTGTAAAACAATCACAAATAATATAAAATAGGCAATTTGAAATATTAAATTCTCACAAACATGAATACCACTGTGTCACGAGTAATGAACCATATGAATTATTTAGGAAACTATATTTCTTGTAGAAGTTTAAGTACTCTGGTTACTCTACAATGCAGTTTCAAAACTGTATAACCGCATGCGACCTGTTCTCACAAAGTGAAACAAGTCAACGCGAACCAAACAGAGTCAACAACACACTACATCACTCAAAGAATTTTCTCTCACATTCCTTTAGCTTGTCCACATCCATTTCTGAAACATCAAAAGTAGACTTGTTTTGCTCTGAGAAATCTGATGTTTCGTTTCCCTCTGTTTTCCTTTCGTCTTTATGATGATTATTATTATCTACAATTTTTAAAACTGGACTGTGAAATATTGCTGAAATTTTAAAAGATTGACTATGTTCAAGATATCGAACAATTTGCAAATCAATAACCCTGTAAAAAAAAGCAAAATATTTTGTCACACTAAATTGTGCATTTCAATTCAAATCCTAAAAAAACAGATAATTTTATAAGTTAAAAATATTTCAGAATTGAAATACAGCTACAGTTTTGATGTTTTCAGTTTGTTTGTAGCTATTATTGATTTATTACACAATGTCCGTGTTAAAACTGTCTTCGTTTTAGCTATTTATTGTTCAATCTCTCTGTTGGCAAAAAATAAATGGTAAATATTAAAAATTTAAGTAGCTAGCACAAAAAATTAGAACTTAAGCCCTTCAACTTTTTCTTTACCGTTACAACATCAGATACGCAAAAGGGGATAAAATAAAAGTGAAGACAAAAAAACGTGAAAACTATGAAAAATTCGTACATTTGCAAGAATCGCTATGTAACAACAAAATTGGAAGAAACATCCATTTGCAGAAAGTCGAGCCAATTTAGCTCTGCAGAATGCAAACATCCAAATGCAAATTTTGCAGTTTATTCATAAAAGGAGGAAGTTGTCCAGCTTATATTAAACTTTCCAGAAAATAAAATTGCTAAAGTATCTCGTTGTTATCTGTTCCCAGAAATCTGCAAAGCATTGGTTTATGACCAACTCAAAAAACTAAATATACTAATTCATAAACTAAAAATACATAGCTAAGATCTTAAACACACTTCGGGCAAAACCATGGTCATCTGAAATGCAATCAGCAGAGCTTACTTCAGAAACATATCCATTAAAATTGACTTTTTGATCTGTCATCACATGATCAGCGCACGATGACAATCTCGCAAAAAATGCCCAATGTCTATGGGAAAAACTGCCAAGCTATTTAGGGGATGAGTAGTCAGATATTCAGTTATGTTCCACTCGTTTATTTTGAAAGCGATTGTATAAATTTTAAAGAAATCAGTCGGGCAGAGCTGAAAATATGAATCTCCACCTTCGCAGTCAGAAAAAAACGCGATCGTGTTGTGTTACAACTCGTTGTAAGAAAAGCACATTTCAAAAATTACATTTAAGGAGATGCACTAGAATCAGGAATGCATTATAAAACTACATAAGAGACAACAATATGAGCCTTAGTCAGTTCAAGAAAACTGCTTGGCAATATTATGAATTATCATCAGACACGATTTTTAAGAAGTTGATAATCAAAGAACATGGTAGTCTATAAGTCTGTCTTGTAACAAGTCACGTGAACTGTCTAGTAAAATATTGTGTTGTTTTTAATGTTTATAACATTACGTTTTAAGGTTTCAGAAATCGGCGAAAGCTGTAACATTTTACCTGCCATTGATTAGTTATATATGTTCCTTGGCATTTACAGTTTAGTAAACACATAAAATCGTAAGAAAAAATTTTTGTTCTCACCTTCTCTTGCTTTATCCACATCCATATGTGAAACATCAATAGCAGATTCTTTTTGTTCTGACAAATCTGACGTTTCATTTCCCTTTCTTTTACAGTGTTTTTTGTCATCATCATCCTTATCTATAATAATTAACACTTGAGCGTGTACTTGTAATTAAAAAAATTAGGTTGTATTTGCAATAAAAAAGAATCCAGCAGCATTCGATATTGAACAAATACAAGTCAAGTTTTTTAATTTTATTTAAAATTTTAATTCTTCTATCCATGTAGATTGCAAACCCGTCTTCAGAAAATCAGTACATAAATTCTGACGCGGTTATACACACATAAAAAAACATGTGATCACACAAGATTTAAACTTACATCATCGGGAGCTCTATTTTTGGAAGGATAACTTCGCCGCCATCTTTATGAAAGCAAAAGGCGAAGACGAAAAAAAATGTTGCAAAACATTGTTTTTCTCATTGTTCAGGACAAAAATTCACTCAAAATATGACTTGTGAAAACTTTTCCATGAACATAACACAAGCGTGTTTTATATTAACAAAATTACGCACTATAGCTGCGAAATCGGCTTCAATCAATTATATGGCTTTTGTAGTGGAATTATCATTCCAATTTTTTGATAAAGTTCACTGGCTCGCCCTGTTGTGCTGCTAAGCCCACAGAGATTGGAGACAAATCAAATCTATTAGAAACTGCATATGGACGAGACACTCTCGCCACTATAGCCGTCTCTTAATGGCAACGTAATTCGACTTTATAATAAAGCTATTTGTAAAGTTTGATTGCAAACAAAAATGATAAATTCAGAAATGGCAGATTACATGTTGTACACGGCCATATGAAAACTATATGTGCACGCAGGGGTTTATTAAGTGCAAGGAGAAGACAAAAATTATACAAGACAAGTTTTCATACCGTTATTGCTCATTGATTCAGTTGAGTTCTTTTCTTCGACATTCAGTTTCCACTTCAAAACTTTGTTTTCTCTTTGTGAGTCAAGTTCAGTCACCTCCAAATATCCTTTAGCAGGAAAATTCACTTGAATTGTACTAAAGTGATCAACAACAAAACCATCGTTGTCAAGCTTTGAAATGTCTATTTTAAACGTGTATGAATCAAGCTCCTTTCCAGTAAATTTTAGCTGTATTTCATAATATCGATCAGTGTTGATGTCCTTCATGTCTTCATTATTATCATTATTTTCATGGAAGTCTTCACAATCATTGGCCAATTTCAACATTGGAAATCCCACAAACTTCTCACGCACGAAAGAGCTGACAAAGACAACTTTAATATCTAATGTTCCCGTTTTTGATGATCTTCGATGGAATACATATGCATAAGCGTAAAAAAATTCGTTAAGATGACATAAAATACGAGGAATGTAAGAAGGTATAGCTGTAACGAAGATGTATGAAGAAAATGTGTTTATATTTATCAAAATCCTCTTTCGTTTACATCAATGTCTTCCAAAATTTCCACGTGGTCTTTTGCTTGTCATTCGAGTACGATCCATAAATAGCAACAATCTTCAAAGAACCATTATCTTCTCTCGAAATAGCTCTATCTCCATTAATGTTAATTTGCAATGGAGCAGGCTTCGAGAAATGTAGGCCGTTAGGAAGACATTGCAGATGACATATGCTACTTTTAAGAAGTTCCAAGTACAGCAAACTTTTGATGTAGCTTGGATTGTTAACCTTGACTAACTTTATCATTGTACTGTCTTCTAAACAGCCAGGACCAATATCAAAGATAACGTCCTCCATCATTAAATTGCCACCACCAGAAGTGACCAGTTTTTCCAGTTTACAGGACACTGCCTTTGTATCTAAAAATTTTAACACACTTACATTCTTCAACTCCTTCGATTCCATTTCACTGTTTCCAGAATATTCTCGCCTTTAGGCAGTAGGCTTAAATTTAATGAATGCGCTTTTTGACTCACTTGCTTTTTTAGTTCAGTGAAGTTAAAATTTACGAAATGGCCGGGTCACACATAAACACACATATCTCAATACAATAAAACTGTTGCTTCTTAGCTGCGATGAGTGTCTGCAAATATTCATGTATGAATCCCATAATTCGCAGAAAAACAAGTTATTTCATAGGATATAAACACAACAAAGCATGCATACATGAATATGGCCGCTGTAAATTAATGCGCTAATCGTGCCACTCAAACTCTTATGTACCTTAACTGTTTCTAGATTTTAAAATTTTTTTCAACCCCACATGATTTTTTACCACTATAGAAATGAAAACCACATTTTTAATTATTAGTAATTTCGCTTTTTTATGAATAAAACAGTGCACTTTCTATCATGTTTTATGCATGTCAAACACTGACTTTTACAATGCGTGAGGTTAAGAAAGGACATAACGTTATAAGCAATAATATTTGTTAATTTCATACCTTTATTCAAAGATGAAAACGACTTTATTCTTTCAAAGGCTTGAGTTTCAACATCAGACTAAAACATCGATCATTGAAATGTAGCTACATTCACAATTCACCAGATAAATGAAATAAATTTATATTTAATACTAACTTTATTAATATCGAACTATTATTAAATAAATTTCTTACTATCTTATTAACATGTCGTGAACTTCCAGTGATGTGTCGACATTTTTAATGTAACACAGTTTAACTTGCCTCAAAATAAAGAAACTACGTTTTCCGTATACACATTATCTGGGTCTTTTCCAATGCTGTTTATAAGTATTTATCAAGTTCGTACGCGTCTCAATCGGATTTTAGGAGCGTATTTTTTAACTGTTTGAAGAACGTTGACTGCTTTGACTGCTGTGTTAGAGCTTTATCTTTTTTTGATGTCCTTTTTAATCCAGATTGAGCTTGTTTCTATTTTCACGAGGTAATATAATTTGTTGGAAGTATATGCCTCGCTACTCAACACATTTCATGCAGTTGCTTTCCGTTATGTTGGCGGAAGATTTCAATGAAATTAACAATCAAACTCAAAAGCATTGTACAAGTATGCATAGTGATTGTCATATCTGCTCCAAATGAAAATCATATGATCATAATGCATCCAATCATAGAGGTACAAACGATGATAGCCACATAATAGATATCATAATAGATATTTAAGAATGCAGACTACTAAACTTTCAACTTATATTATATTACCACATCTGAATTTGCGTGTAATTTTGAAATTGCGAATTTGGTAACATTTTAGTTTAAGTAGTTTATTATTTTATAGTTGACCATCACAAATAAAGAAAAATTCAATGGAAAGTTTTTGTAAATTTGTTCAGCATATAGTCATGCAGGTTTGACGGTTCTCGAGTTCATACTCACTAACTACCGTTGTTTTCTGGAAAATCTTTCTAAAAGTTTACTGTTAGAAGCACAGTAGACTTAAGACAGATTTTCCAGAAAAGAACGGTAACTGGTCTAAAAACAAGATATGAGTAAGTAAATATTATTAATTAAATATACCTGACTGGTGGGAGACAAAATTTCATCCAAATCAAGCATTACTTCTTCAAGGCATTTCTTCAATACATATCGATCAAATTTCTTTCCTTCATTAAAAATGACTAAAATCTCTTTAGCTTTTGCGGAGGGATTTGGATAAATTGTGTCGTCAACAATACTATCAGCACGTATGTCAAAAGGTATTTCTAGAAGACCACCCAGTATATTCCAATCAGTTCCAACTTTCTGACAAATTTTCTCGATTTCCTCTGTTGTTAGTTTAGTGTATCTAAGATCAGCTAAATATAGTAAAAAAACATGTAAAGAAACACCGATTTATTACACATCATCTAAGAAAAACGTGAACGTAGTCAAAACACATGGCACCGGATGAGGATGCAGGGAGTGATACAGCTACTGGGAAGCTCTTACCCTATATAAATAATTTACGATAACACAGACCGTATAATTTTGGCATTGGTTTTATTTTTAGAAATAAGCTCTTTCTCACGAAAGACGAAGTCTCGTCATCAATGATGATCAAACCGTAACATTTTGGCTGTAGAAAATACCCAACAATTAGAAAAAAAGAAGATGATCAATTTGAAAACTGAAGATCCCATTTGTCCATTGCGGAGTTTCTCGGACCATAAACGTCTTTTCCTTATGATGTAAATCACGCTTTGCGCGAATAAATGGTAATTTCAGTCTTGATTTTTTCCATTGCGCATGAAAATGTTTAAATCTCTACATTTTCAGCACCCTTGATCTCATATTTGGCAAATACAAAATACTTTATTTACCAGAACAAAAACTTAAGCAAAAACCGAATTCTACTAATGGATGTATTCTTTATTAAATCATACAAACCAGAACTTAACAATGGCCTGAAAGCCAGTAATACAATCAACTTGATTTTCCCAAAAAATCCAAACTTCCGCACTCACACTTCCTTCGAAATGATGGAAATAAACAGATATACAGGGAGCCACAGTTAGCTTGTAAATATTTATCGTTTGATGATGAATTTGTAATGAATTCAAAACATTACAGAATGAAATAACTGTCTCGTTTGTTTTCTCAAATATTGAGGTCAAAATGGACCTTTTCTCCGGAGTATGTTTCATATTTTATACATGACACCAAATACTATAAATATAGTCAAAAGTTAGGGAAACCAAAACAATAAATCATATAAAAGTAACTCAAATTTTTCCCAATGCAGAAATGATTTATCCACCCTTGACTTTTTACTATGTATTTTTATGATGCAAATGTGACTACTGAGAAAATATCATGTACTTGATGAAAAATAAAGAAATGTAAACAATATGTCTACATCATGCATTAGCATTGAAATAAGTCATTTTGTTGAATGGTACAATCACCATAACCTATCTATCCAGGGCTGTCGTACTATCTATAATTTGGAGGGGGCTCATATTGGGGAGATAATTGCATGGGCATGTTGTAATCCGTCGATAAACAATAGATTTCAAAGAGCTTAACAAAGTATATCATGCATAACATGTGACCCTTAAATCAAAATTTTGTATTACCATATACTTACCTTGAAAACATCGTTTCTTCTTCTCTTCTCCAGAAAAAATAGCTATGGAAAAAGCACAAAGTTCGTGTTTGCATGACAAGTCGACACATATAACAATATTTTTAACAAATTTGACATTGTGAATATTATACTTAAGTTTATGTCAACGTATTATAATGTTATTTAGATCTTGAAGACACGTTCAAAATTAATCCAATAAATCATCAAAAGAACCTTGTGTTTTCGTTGTATGCATAGGTAATAATAAAAATATTTTTTGTTCATGCACAGTGAAGTATAATATCAGCTGCAACGATAACTGACCGCCATCTTTGAGGACAGTATATGGTAGCTATGCAGGTCGCTTCAGTTCTTTTTTGTTCAAAAATGGCGATAGATGTATCAACAAAACACATAAAATACTGCTATTTTTTGTTGTTTATTTAATTCCTCATATTAACACTTAAGATAGTGAACTTTTCGAAAAATTGCCGGCCATTTTGTTTGGTGAATGTTACAACATCACTGCAACAAAAAGGGTTAAATCAAGGGAGTACGTATATATTTGCAAATTGAAAAGTTAAAAGACATGCGAATAGGGTAAGTGCAGGTCTCTTCAGGCCTTTTCAGTGCCTTAATCTAATTATAGAGCGTTTATATAAGTTATCGTTGCAGTTGAAATTACTCTTCACTTTTTCTATGGCAAGAAATTTTTATTAAGAAAAATAGATTATTCCGTTTGAAATTTATAATTAAATTTTTATTTTCACTTTTTATTAAATTTTTTTACAATATACATTTATGGTAGTAATGAATATTTTTTCTCATATTTTTTCTATTCGAATTTAAGTAAATAAAGACTGATGAGCATTGAAATGATGTTAATATCATGTAAAAATAAATGTAATCAAATTGCTATTGTACAGCGATCACATATTGAAGTGTAATAAGAAATGAGAAAATTCAAGCTAGTATGCTTACCCTTAAGTTCTGCATTGTCTTTCAATTCATCATTTGACCTGACAGCTGCATGAATCCGAACAGGGAGACTGGGGTATGTTTTAAGAAAATATGCCTTGTGATCTCCAATCTTATAAATAGGTTTTGGTTGTGGTCTTTGCAGTGGTCGATCGTGCAAATGTTGGCCAATATTACGAATGAGCCTTAAGCATTCTGTCCATGAAGATCCATACTTTCTTCCATTTACCAAATATTCATAAACATCGCTATCCATTTGACTTTTCCAATTTGAAGATTCAATATTCAATTGTTGGACGATACTAGATTGGGGATCATTTGTTTTAATCGACTGTAAGTCACCAACTTTACATAAAAAGTGAAATTTCTCGTCATCCGACATAAGAAATGGATGTTTCAAGGCTTCGTTGGCAGATGGTCTTTCTTCTGGTTGTAGTTTTAACATCCACGACAGAAGGTCTTTTAATGTTTCATCCTTGATTTCGTCCAAGCCAACGGGTATCCCATTCAACATGTTGATCAGTCTGTGGGTTTAGTTCCAAAAGGATGTTTCCTTTTGTTGCAACATAATAAGCCACCATTCCTGCATTCTAAAAATAGCATAAGGTCAAACCTTTATTTAAAGAGAATAAAACACAATAGCTAATAAGTAACTAAATTAATTTGTAGTCCTCTTAGATGGTGCTAGACTTATATAACACAAGCGATATAAAAAAATCAAAATTTTAAGCTCATATTTATAAAATTTAGAAATTTAGCCTACAATATATCAACATAATCTGAGTTCAATTGAAAAAAATTAATTTCTGCATCTTAAATTATAGCTTTTCAATGGACGACAACTTCAGTAAATTTAATATCAGGCCGTTGCACAGCTTACTAAGGACATTTTCAGTTTTCCAATTAAAAATGTAAGAGCAACAATCTATTGTCCGAGATTAAATTCATGCAATTAATTTCTTATCGCCAGGTTACACTAACTTACTTTTTTCAATTGTGCTATTTTTGCCGAAAGTTACTTTTTGCGCACTGGTGTGATCTGTAGCTACTTATTTCAGAAGTTAATTTACCAATCGAAAATGCCTAAATAAGTGTTCAATATATGATGTTAAATAAAAAGTTTGGCTGTTCTTAAAATTATATCAGTTCTTTTCTCATTTTCTCGAAACTCCGAAAATGACTTAAGGAAAAATCAAATTGACGATGCAGTAAATTCCCACACTCACCATTACATCCGACTTTGTTTTGTAACGACCTTTATCAAACGAATCTTCTTCTTTACAATATGATTCAGGAGCAATCCAAAACTCAGTTCCCACATTAGAATTGGCTTTTATGCCAAAATCAGCTATGAGAAATTTGCCTTGTGAGTCTCGGAGAACATTGGAAGGTTTTAAATTGCAATGAAGAATAGGTTGCAGGCCACTATGAAGATAAGCTAATCCTTGCAAAATTGGTCTGAGAATTTCGGGAAGAGCTTTTTGAAGATCAGACAAAGTAGAAGACTTCACAAAACTCTCCAACGATTCCTCGCATAAGTCTAATATTAAATACACATATTCCGTGTCATTGTCTTCCTCTAAATATGAATAGTTCACAACATATTTCGATTCCTTTGCGCTGAGTTCATTCAAAATATCCTTTTCTCGGCGTGTTAGCTCGATGAAGTTATCTCGATGTATTCGTTTCACAGCTTTGCCGTAACCATCTTTTCGCAGTCCAAGAAATACACGTGTTCCATCGTTTCCTCTGCCGATGCAAAACTCGTCTGAGAAAATTACACGTACATCGCCCACATGTTTAACCTTTCTAAAGGCACTGGCCCCATATTCACACAATTTTAAAAACATTTCTCCATGCTTTGTTGATTCACCAATAAATTTCCACTCTTGTAACTGCAGTTCTTAAAATGACATAAAAGTACTTAATTATGGAAGTATATAGGTAGGACAGCGAGAGGATGTAGAATGTAAATAGATATAATTTAATTGTTGCATACATAAATACCATTTTGCATCGTGAGTCTTTGATATTACAGCATGACGCACAAACCCAGATATTGTTGCTAAGCAATATTACTATAAATTTACTTCAGGGGTCTCCAAATTACAGCCCGCGGGCCAGATGCGGCCCGTTGGGCCTCTCAATCCGGCCGGTAGAGACACTTAAGAAAGCCAATTTCACATCTAACATTGAGAAAACTGAACAGACTAATTTTGATTTTCTTATGATACTACTCTTGGTTGAAATTTAACCTTTAAATTTTGAATAAATATTTTCTTAACTAATGAAGCTTGTGTAATGTACTTCGTTTTATTAAAATCTTTGCTCTTTGACCAGCGGTATACGGTTCGTCAGCCCTCAACATGCTGGATGAAAGTTAATGTGGCTCTCTGGCTGTAAATTTGGAGACCCCTGATTTACTTGGATAAAAACTGTAAACTATGTACTAATTGTAATGAAGCTGACATTGATACAAATAAGTGTCGATGGCAGTTATATAATTGACGTGCATTGATATTTCTTGATTTCTTACCTGATAAAAATGACCTTGGTCTTCGAAAAGGTGGACTTTTACGACCTAACTAAAAATGTATTAAAATAATTTTTTATTATTGATGAAATAAATTAATATTATCATCACACGTACAAGTAACTAAAAACATGAACTTGCTGTGATGTTACATTTATATACATTTGCCTTTCACTGTTAGGAACTGTACTTCATTTTTCATGAGTTTTGAATCTCGTTAAATCAAGCTTCTCTTAATAATTTTCGGTTGCTTTTGCAAAGTCGAAAATCTGATACAAGTATTCAGACAAAGTGTAATGGTTACATTTACAATAATTTATCGTTTATATCTGACGTGCCACTAACGTACCTCAAAATGAAAAAAGAAAGAAACTACGGCTTTCGTACATATTTTTATCTGTGGCTTTGCCATCTATGGTATTTAAGTGCTTATGAAGTTCGTGCATGTCTAAATTGGATTTTAATTTTGAGTGCTCTTCTTGCTTTTATAATTTCAAAAAGTTAATTAGTCTTTCATTTTTAGTGTCTTTTCCAATCTCGTATAAGTCTGTTACAAAAACTCGCGTGATAAAAAATAACGTTAGGAGTATAGTCGTCAGCCCTCAGTACTAAATTTTAGTGGCTTTTTGCTAACTTAAAGGACACATGCAACATAAAATTCAGATTGTTATTTTTGTACTTTACATAAAGGTATAGCTCCAACTAATAGTTCAACAAAGTTTGAGACTCAAAGGATAAATATTTTTGACGATATGGAGGTTTAAAGTTGATGCTTTACTAATAACGTATTGAAAATGCCCGACGAGCTAACGACGGCTACCGATTGAAGAAGGTCGTTGTGACGTAATAGTTGACATTAGCTAAACGCAGTCAATTGCGCGCTTCGTTCAGAATATATTGGTAACTTCATAACAACACGACAATTTAGCATTGAAAATATAGTTTATTGTGCCGCATTTAATTGTAAAAACGGTTCTTCAAAATCCACCAAACGCAGCAAAAGGTTTCTTTTTTTCGTTTCCCGAAAACAAGCGCATGCGAGATAGTTGATTGAAAAAAATCCGACACAAAAATTTGAAGCCAACAAAGAGCTCAAAATTGTGCTCGCAACATTTCGAGAGTTCGTGCTTCGTGCAAAATTTTGAAGCGACGCAATCAGGAGGATGGACAGCAGGACGGCTTCGCCTTAAGAAGGATGCTGTATCCACGATTTTTTAATACTCTGTGGAACCCACAAGTGTAGCATCTAAAAGGAAGCAGCCAACAAATGTTAGAACTGCATTTGAGAAGAGACAAAGGCAAGAGGTGATTAATAGTTATAGTTAGCAATATTTGTTTACATTTATCAAAAACTAAGCTATATAGCATTACCAAATTGAGGACAATTTTATAATTTTAGATTATTGACGACGTTCTTGCAGAACATGACGACTTTCTTGTAGGCGACGACCACGATGTGTCGACATCGGCTCGAAATGTTTGTGCGTTTTACCTCAAAGGAAGTTTGTCTAAGATAAAGATTTCAAAATATATGTAGACAGCGAAACACAAACATATACAGTGGTAACTCATTCAGACTAATGTCGTTTGATCTTTTCTTTGTTATTTTAACTCATAGAAAATTCCTTAACGTACCTTAGAAGCGCAATGTGAAATGCCAAGCAGACATAACAATCCGTCCGCAAAAACACGTAAGGTCAAGAACCACTCAAACAAAAGTGCCAAATATGATAAGTAGAGGTATAGACTTTCCATTTCGGTTGTTTTGATTTTTGTGAAAAATCCATCAATACGATAATTTTATTTAAAGGTTGAGTTAATTTCAACAAAAAATCACAGCACACAGACGACGTCATGTGAAATTGAACATTTTGAGGATAGCGCTGTATGGTCTGATACAGAAAGCACGTCGACGATGAGCAATAGCTACAATGGATCAGACTCCTACGTTTTCTTCACTCTCAGGCATAGGTCCAATGTCATGTGTGTACACGACCATAGCTGTTTTACGAGCTTCGTTTGTACACACTGTGGCAAACTCTTCCTCTTGTGTGATACAAATATGATCGCCATGTATCAGAGGATCAGTATTGTTTACCTCTTGGCACATATACTTTCCCGTCCTGTACTCATGACCACAAAAGCCACACTCGCACCTAAAAGATAAAACATTGTTTTTACTTTGGGAAAACAATGAAGCATAAATAAAATGCAACTAACCATTCAACATTTCCAATTCTGTGAATGTATTTATCTTCGCTTTCCGATGACGGAGAATTGTCATTATGACCACCTTTACGCGTTGGCCAAAAGCTCCATGTGCTAGGTTGTACCTCATTGTTATTGATGATAATATCATAATCGGCATCTTCTTCAGAAGTATCCATTAATTTTTGATAAATAAAAAACAGTAATAGCAAAGTACCGAAAAACGTGCAAGTCGTAGAACGATAAAAGAACGATGCTTGTTGATGTCAACTAATACGTCACTCTTTCCCAGTTCCCAGACTTAAACAATCTCACGGCGTTTTAGCAATGGTCATCGAATATCGTGTTTTTACCGATTATAACCCTAAATATCTTTTGAAATATTTTGCGGACTACTTTGAAACTTGGTACGTCTTATTTTCACGTATAGGCATTACAATAAAAAAGTTGTCCTCTAGCTTGCATGTGTCCTTTAAGTACAGATACAGTTATATCTAGACAGATTTTCTAAGTAGAAAATATCCAAAGTCAGCTTGATGTTAAAACAATACACACCCGTATGCAATGTATTTCAAAACTAATCATTTTGACGAATTGACGGGATATCGTACCTGGTGATATTTCTTAAGATCATCCAAAATGGAGTAAAAAAGAAGCTTTCATGACACTAACTTTATTACGCACCACAGCCTTGTACCCTGGCGTCTGAAGGGATTATGGATGCAATAACCCACTGTCGAGAAACTTTTGTGTTATGTGCTATTTAAAATAAACCAATTGGAAACCTATGAATAAAACATTGTGTATAAGAAAATGCTATAGAATTGAGAACTCTTCCTAATAATTACTAAGTCACCACATGATAAACAAAGAGGTTCCTTTCCAGCATCTAGAATACCTCTAATTTCTTTGGTTTTACTCAGGCTTTCACATACTTTCACTTTCTCTCTTCCCTATTCCATAATTGTATTAATTTATGTCCATCTAACTTTGATTCTTGTATTTCCTACAGTTTCTCTTGTAGTCTGTTCTTATCTCACATAAATACATGCATCTGTCTCTTTTTCGGCAAAAATTCATTCTTCAGTAAATCATTTCCAAAGTGAATATGCTCATTTTCTTACTAACGTCCACGACCAGCAATTTTACAACTCTAACAACATTCATACTCATTCTGAGCTACAAATACTCCTCCAAAACGTAATCAAACCACTTTGTAATTTTACATCTTGATTTAATTTACTAATTACAACGTGTTTTCCTTCCCATACAGTATAATACAGTAAAAAGTCTTGATAAGTAAAATGTTGATGATGACAGTTAACATATTTGAAAGTTGTGAAATGTTCCTGCAATTAACTAAAAACGTTGATGAGAAATGTAAACTACTTCTCATCTCTGAAACTGAACCGATCAATAAACATTAAAACAAGTCAAGTGTATAGAATCTCGTACGGCATATATATATATAAAAAATTAGTAATATTTTCCAGTTTCAAAATATCTTATTAGACAATATCATCGCCTAATTCTTAAAACGGTATTTTTAGAAGTGCACCCACTAGGGCCAATCAGTTAAACCTTTAAGACATTTTTTTCTATTTCTTCTTGTTCAAGTCTGGTGTGCCTAACCAACCTTATAATACATCTTCAAAACAAAAATGAAGGGGAATAGAGGAGGTGCAATAAGCCAACGTCGGGAAATTTTCAGCCCCATAGTTAATTTTCAAAATCTCAAACCGTATGAATATGTAGTGTACGCGGGAAAATCTGTCGAATAATGATCTTGAGTCACATAAAAGAATTACATTAAGTGACGGCGTAGCTAATTTAAACATCTTAACCAGACATAAAGTTGAATATGGTGCAAAATTTCAATTCTATTGTTCACAAACCTTTAAAAATATAATTTTATTACAAGTTTCATTATTTTCATCCATTTGTATGGCGAAATCGTTAAAATACAGAAAGCATATATCACTTTAATGATCGTTTCCATCCACACTATTCAGTATTCACATTTTCTAAAGTCGATTATAATTGACTATAGAAGCTAGCAACTATATAACTAGCAGAACCACTGCCATTTATAACAAAATCAAAAGAGAT